AGAGCATTTTCCTGAACTCTTCCCACTGGACTACACTCCAGCAGGGTTTGTCTGGACTATGTAAAAAGGTGTTTTTGTTTTCTTTCCCACTATAGCTCTTGTGGCAGTTCTCAAACGGAGTGCAAGTGTGCTCCACCTCCTCTAATTTCAGTGATTTGCACCTAGGATTTCTCCTGGAGTGGGTGAAGTTCAGGGCAAGCACAGGGCCATCACTCCAGGTAGTGGAAACAATACAGAATGAGAAAAAAAGGACAATAATAATGGAAAAGATTGGGCACACAACCATTTTCCAGGCCGAAGAATCTCTATTGTTATATTAAATTCTCTCATCTCCAGGAATCTGCTGTGCTCTGACCTCAGCCCTTTCTCATTTTGATCTCTGTAGCAACTGGAGAGACCTGAGGTTAAGATACACACTTATACATCCTTAAAGGACCAAAGCTTGCCACGGATGATGGATAAAAAGTGTGATGTGAGGCACGGGAACTTCAAAAATAATGTTGAAGTTATGCTCTTTCAGGAAATTTTCAGAAGCGATGGCTACAGCGATGTATATGTATGCGCGTACAATATAAACACACACACACAGAAACATGCAATACGCAAGTATACACTGACACATGAGTTAACTAGCAAAATGCTCCCTTTGATCTTCCTCAAATTATTCAATCAATTCAATTTGAGCTTGCATTCATAAATTCCATGGAAAAAAGAAGGGGCTAAATTAGCTGACGGTGGGCTTTTACACCAAGAGCCAGCAGGACCTGGCTTATCTGCCAGCAGAGGCCTGCCCCAGACTCCTGCCTGTTGTGGAGGTGCCCTTGACACCATCCACTTTACGGAAACTATTCCAGCAGTCCGAGAGCCAGAGCCGGCGCGGCCGCCCAGCTCCTGGGCATGCATCCGGACTGCGGGACAAAGGCATTCGCACTCAAGGCACAGCTCACCGAGCTGCTTGTAGCTGGCGCTGTATCTGTAGCACCTTCCGGCAAAACGAAAGATAAAATAATGATTTATTTATAAAGCAGGAGCGTAGGTTGGGGTTTTTTTTTAAACAAAAGAAGCTTCTTCAAGCTATGTCAGAGACGCAGAGCAGCAAAGCACGTTAATGGAATGTAACTCTACGGCCTCACAGATAAGGGCTTTAAAGCTGACCTTTGCCAAACACAAGAGAGTTAAAGGAAGGACGCTCAGGTCAGCCCGTGCTTTACACTGCAGCAATACCTTGGGTTCTTGATTTCCTTACAGACTGCAGTGGTATGTTTCTGCTGCAGTTTCTTTCATTCGCTTCAGACTGATTTGCAAATCAGACATTTGGCTCCAGCTAACTGTAACAGTGCTTAAGGAAAGCAGAAAGAAGAAGGATATAACACACACGTGAATTATTATGTTATCTAGCATTGCCCATCTACTTTTACAGAAGTCATCCGTTTAACCTCTTTATTTTTAAGCTACAGTTGGCCCATCTATTTTTCTGCCATCACATCAGTGCAGAAGTCTGCACCTATAAGTTATGCGAAGAAAAAGTGCTGAGCATATGGATTTTTTTAAAAACACGATCCTCAAATTAATTCCTTAAATGAACAGAACTTTCCACTCATGGCAGATTGATAAAGACAACATGGGAAAAGCACGCCCACTGAGCAAGGCTGCTACTTGCCATCGATTTTGTTCATTGCCTTATCACAGGAGAAGAAACTCATGCTGATAAGGCACAAACACTACCCAACTATGAGTTTTCATTTCCACAACATCCTTCAAAGTGCTTTCCCTATTTAGCCTTCATTTAACCACGGGAAAATAATATGATTTGTCCCTATGATGATGTATGGTAAGTGTCCATTTGCTCAGAGTAACACCAGCGGTCAGCCTGCACAGCAGGGGAAGAGACATAGGTTCCCGTGAACATATTTTGGGCAAACGCAATCAGCTGAGCCCACGGACACACAGCCAGTTCACCCAAAGCACCAGGACCAATGCCCTAACTTTTGAGAAAATGGCAGGAAGATATTTTCTGACCCAGCTTCCAGGACTATTCCTGAAGAAAGTGTTTCCCCATAGGACTCCCATGAGTCTTAAACAATGGGGAGGGAGGTCGAACATGTAGTGTATCTATCACCCTGGAACTTGAAAATTGAGGCTGGCATAGATGGGGTTGGTTTTCACAGATAAAAGCAGGCATTTCTCATGACTATACTTCTTGCTCATCTAATAGCAATGAGGAGTCTAAAATGGCATTAAGACTATGAAACAACATGATAGTCTGAGGGCTGATGCATTCGAAGGGTCTCACAGAGAGCAGGCTCCAACTTCTCTTCATGTTTGAAGAAATTTGCAATCAAAATACCAGAAAATCTATGGTTTAATCTCTAGAACAACTTAAATTTGTTTTTCAGACAAGAAAATTTAGCAGAGCCTCTTCCCCTGTGCTGAAGAGTACTGCTGCCTTTAGCCAGTAGTCCTTCAAACGCTTTACCTATGTAATGCGGGATCACTCTTACCACAGGCACTTCCACCGAATTTTCATTAATTTCATAGCTACGAACTTGTTTGCCAACTTGTATGGGGAGAAGGCTATGCATGAGTAGGCTATACAATACTCAAGATATTGTTTGCATGGAAAGAACAGCAAACAGCAAGGAACAGATTCCAAGGCAATTTCCCTCCTGTATTCCACAACGTGCAATTTCTCTTAGCAATTTCGCTTCACACAGCTGGACCTAACCCGCTGCTGCTATCCGTAAGGCTCTTGCACTCATGCCACAGGCAGCAGATATGAACTAGGTTCAAGATGACGTACACTGACCTTTTTTTTACTCTCATTTAGTATGAGTTCCAAGTTTATCATTTCTTTGTCATAAGCTACTTCCTGATTCTCTTATTTCATAGATTAGATCTGGTCAGCTTCTACAGGAATGTAAATGTTCTCTATTCAGTAAAACGGAGATCCCTCTGCACATTTCTTCGGATATGTTTCTCTCCAATGTTTAGTACCACGTGACCTCTTACTAGACAGAGCCCACCACCTCCCAGGGTAATGAAGTGTGATTAAATATCTTTCTTGGTTATAAAATTATGAGGCACAATTATAAAGTCAACTATTAAAGGGGACTACTAAAGAGGACGTCTGACTTTTTTTTCCACCTTTTCACATTTGTGTTTGTACACATGTATACCAATGGGCAGCGAATGCTGAAAACAAAATGAAAATCTTGGAGTAAGTCACTTTAAAGCCAATTTAATGTTTGATATGGTGCATACAGAAAACAATGATTGTTTGTTCCCTGGATATATGGGCTTTGCACACAGAATAAGACAGGGCCATGTTAAGCTAGAAGAAGGGTGCTTAGCTCAGGCAGAGTGTAATACTCCTAGTCTCCAAACTAGCACTCATGACACCAGTTTGTTTTTAACTCATGGTCTGGATGATGCTGTGTAGACATCACCTTAGAGCTCACCGAATTAGAGGGACCACTTGCTGTTACTTCTCCGTAACTGGGTGAGGCTTTTAGCTAGTTAAGTTGTGGCCTTTTTTTTGCAGGGGGGCAAAAAACCCCCAAAACCCTGCCAGAAAGAAAAATGGGAAAAAGGTTCCCAAATCTATTTTGTTTTAAAAAAATGAGGCAATCCTGAGTGGCCTAGACAGTGAAATTCCAGCACAGCTCTCGGCTTTCTGTGCTCAAGCTTTTCTCCCGTGGGTTTCTGACCACCAAGGACGTGTTGCTTAATCTTACAAATTTCAGAAACCTCAAATTAGGTGGAAGCAGACACAAAATACACATTTTCTCAACTCATTAATTAAGTCTCCAAACTGCTAAAAAGCCTAACAGCCCCCACTTCCCACAGCACCATGAAGCTTTCCTCCCCAGAACACCGCAATCACAAAACGGACCCTAAGTCCGAGCAAAGAGCTCCCCTTCCAAAACAAACTCAGTAACTTCATGTCAGGTACCTTCAAAAGGGAAGACAAAAACACATTTTATGATGTTCCATTAGAGGGCATCCTAGCATGTCCTTTTGTGGTCAGATGCTTCCCTAACTTATATCCTCTGCAATACTTTGTGAACGATCTCCTACAAGGACAGTCAGGAACATTCACATCTTCAAGCTTCTCCATCCCCTGTAATCGTATTAATAGTTTCATTTAATGTTTTAGTTGGTACTGCATTTCTCTTCTGATAGTGCAGCTTCCCTCACCAGGAGAGGTGGATTTTCAGTATTGTTCCATGCATGTAAGATGTGAATAAGCTGGACACACTATCACAAAATTAATTTCAAACTTCAGAACAGTTGAAGATCACACTTGGAAACAATAAGGGACTACAAAAGGTGAGCAAGTTTGATCACGTATCTTGAAACTAGAGGGGAAGATAAATGTACGTTCTCAAAAGCTACCAAAGACAGAAGCTCCACTGCCAAAATACAACAACGTGGCAACTGCTCAGACCTAGCAGCATGGATCCCGCAGCAGGAACCAAACCTGAGCTCCAGGATACAGGGAGCTCTTGTAAAAACAGCCACTACTCCCACCCACGTACTCGATCTTTAAAAACTCAGTTTTAAGACAGTTTACTAATACAGGTACAGATAGATACAGATACAGTTTATGACCATCAGTCCCCTTAAAATCAGTAAGAAGCCCCTGGGTAGTAAAATCTACTTATAGTGATAAACATCTTCCGGATTGGGCTATGACATGTATGAAGATCAGTTTCTACTCATACCTGTAGGTACACTGAAATCAGTTCAAAGACTGAAGGCACCAGAGGATCTAAAGGTAATAATATTGGAAATTAAGAAGTCTAGGGTAAGAAATAGGAGTTGACACAATAACATGAAAATATATCTACGAGACAGATAATTCACTTATAATAAATTACCATACTCTCTGACTTAAAGGGGAATGTAAAAGTGCTCCTGTCACACAAAATGAAAAATGAAGTTCTGACTGCTGAAATGCAAGATTAATGAATCGACATAACAGACATGAAACAACTTACGATGATCCTGGACTTGCTGTTGGCGGGGGACCTAGAAAAGTGACAGAAGAAAAACAGTGTGATGAGTTACGGTGAGGTAGCAAGCAGGAAGCTTTTGAAAACCTTTTAGAAGATAAAAGTAACAGTCTGTCATGTTGGATGTGGTTTATGTAGTTTAACAGACGAGTCGCAGTTTCTCAGTACCAACGACAAGGCTGTATCCTGCAGCAGTGATTGTCTGCAAAACGCCAAAGACGAGGACAATAAACAGGTGAGGCACTCATCCTGCAATTCAACTGTGTCTCGGGCCATCACAGAAAAGGTTACAGCAAACCACAGGAGGCTTGTACAAAAGCATGTGGTAATTATAACTGGGAGAAAACAGCATCATTTCCCCCATCAATTTTCATTATTTATCAGGGGATTCATCCTAGGCCTGATTCAGATGCATTGATCAAATTTGCTCTGACATCAGCAAAGGTTTGCTCAGCGAAGAGCAAACAGGCAGAGAGGACAAGCTGCCATCCCAGAGATGCTCCCAGAAATAGGCTGAATCAGACCGGCTGATACTACTACATCAGTGCATTCATTTTCAGCGGATAAACAGACTTTTCTCCAGAGTTGTTTTTTTAAGTAACAGTTTCACCAGCTTAAAAGGAGAAAACTTACCAAATTTCACAAACAGCACACCAGTTGTGGAAACGGTCTTTCTGCCGTTAGTCGCAACACACTGGAAGTAGCCCGTGTCTGTAGTGTCAAGGTTCCTTATTCGCAGTCGAGACCCATAGCTTGTGGCACGGAAGGAAATCCTCCGGGGTTCTTGGACAACCGGAGCGTCGTTTTTTAGCCAACGGACCGTCGGAGGAGGATTGCCAGAGACTTTACAGTGCAGCTCTGCAGTCTGGCCAAGGGTGGTAGTTATGTTATTCATAGGTTCATCAAGTGTCAAGAAGTAGTCTGTTACGTAAAAGGAAAAAAGGGTGAATAAAGAACTCCAGGTCAGGAAATGTCATTTTAAAGAAAGCTCATGCTTGTCTTTGAAAGGAAAACAAAGGAAGTGGCTATCAGGTTTCATAGAAAACAATAATACTTGTTAATTGATGTTTCAGGGCAGGCAATAGGTCCCACATAGTTTTGCATGGTAATAAAAGGAACAGATTTTGGAACTTCCATTGCATTATAGTAATGCTGTATTTCTTGAAAACTTCTCTTCCTTCATACACCCATGGATTGTCTCTACTTTCTCAACATCATCTTACTGGCTTCATTCAACACAGAAAAAGGAGGTAACACTGCTTCTCTTTTCCTTTTTGCTAACCAATAAACATGAAAAACATGTATCAGAAATCCGGCTGCTCATTTTGATGCCTCTGCCTATGCAGATCTGCCTCTGCAGAAAATATAGGAATATATGAAATGAATTGCTCAGAAGTGAAGATCTCGGAGACATTTTTAATCGATTTGCAGAGCAGCGTAGACAGTATGTTGCCAATGATTTTGTAAGCACTAACTACATAGATGAGGAATAAGGATCATATCTAGGAGATGGAGACTTTTTTCTCACTCAGTATTTCCCTCGCTAAGAGTACTAAAGTTTATCTTAAATCTGAAATAGGTCTCACAATAGGTGCAAGCTGAAGATCAAGAATTCTTTAGTTAAGATAGAGAATGTTAAATCAAAACTTAGCAAAATCAATCTCTTCTAAACCATTCGTTTAGAGCATTGCCTTCTCCTGTCAAGTGCTATTTCATTCTGCATCGTTCAGGAAGAGGACTATTTCTAGTTAACTGTATTCAACATTTAATTAAATCCTTTAAAGGCAGGGAGCGAGATGGATGGGGTACGAGGAATGGAATACGTGGGCTTTCATCTCCGTGTCACAGGTTCAAATCTAACAGTGGTCATTAGTGGCCAAACCCCATTATCATCTGCTGGCTGTCTCAGCAGGGCAGCCAAGGAATGAGAAATCTGGAGGCTGTACTCTGCTCCTGCGCTCTCAAAGCCAACCCGGGAGGTCAAAAAAAGTCTATCAGTAAGTAAACCTCTGCTGTGCTGCTTATGCTCCACCATTCTTAGGTCATCTACTGTTAACTCCAGCAATAAGCCTGCCTAAAAGTATGAAAAAAATATCTAGCATGTATAAAAACAGCTTAGCCAACTAACTTGCCTAACTAATCCACTTCCCTAATTATTTATTTTAATCGTGTCTTCACTAGCTACTCCCTTCATTATGTTTTGACTATATCAATATCTCTCTCCTTTGTATTTAATCCGTTTAGCATGTAAGCTGTTATCCTGTATTTGCACAGCACTTTATACAATGCGTCCCTGTTCTCATTTGGTCCCGAGGAGCTATTAGGATAAACGTTTAGCACAAAGGAACTGCCCACACATATTTTTTTTCACTGATCAACTAGCCTTTTAATGTGCAGGTATGACACTGTGCAAAAAAACCCTACTTTTACCTACACTCCCATGGATCTAATTAGTTAGGAAATCTATGTATGGGGTAAAAAGGGCAGAGATCCCAGCCCTCGGTGAAGACAGACAACAGGGTTCGATGTCTCTCGCCAGGGGTGTCAGACTGGCCTTTTAGCTCTCCAGAATCATTTCTGCATGCTTCATTGCAAGACTAGAAATATTTCTGACTTGCTATCTTAATAACCTCACCGGGAAGCATAATCTAAGTCAGCACACGTATTCTTGGGTTCTCTCCACAATCTGGGTTTAATAAAATCACACTAATAGCATGGAACTGGATAACCGCATTTAATTATCCAATGTAACATTTCTATACCACAGTCATTTATATAATTCCTGATAACATTTCAAAGACTGGTTCAGACATCTACAGTATAACACAGCCAGAGAACAGAATGGCCTCAGTCCCATGATGGTCTTGCTGACAAACACCACAATAAATATAGTATTTTAAAGGTCCTATGCATACATGAGAGGCAAATAAAGGAGTAAGGGTGTAGGGTAGGTTTCCAAAGGCTGGAGAAGGATTTTAAAGTAGCAGTAGCAACAATAAATCAGTGAAAAAGTATGGCTGCAATGCAACGGCTATGGTGCAACTTCTCTATAGGTACAAACAGAAAGAGCCTCTCAGCGTCAGGAGCTTCTGACTCTTCTCTGTGTTCTCCACCTTCCTCCATGAACTATTACAGAAACACTAAAACAAAATACATCTGCTAAGTTCAGTTTAGCTTAGTCTTCAAATCCATGAATTTTGCACCCAAAATCTTAAATCAGATCAAGCAGATCAGCTGAGACGAGATTTAAACAGGGCAGGTTTCAAGCAATTGGATGCTTCATGAGAAGATGTTTCTCACAGATAAAGCAGTTCTGTAATTGAAAATGAGCTGAAGGTCTAACAGTGCTTCCAAAAAACCTTGGACTGTTACTGAGGCATACAAAATTATGAGCATTCCTTCCCTGGCATGCAAAAAAGCCATCCATTGCTGCCCTCGCCTAGCGTGGAGGAGCCAAAGAGAAGCCCCATTTTGTTTTTAATACTCGTGTCTAAATCTCATCTACCAAAGCCCATCGAATCTCCAAAGCTACTGCCACCATCCTCTCCCTTTAATAACAACTATGCAAAGACCATATAAAATAGTTCCTGCCTGCAGCCAGGTTTCTGTCCAGGTCACCCCCCATCAGCCACTCTCTGGTGCCATCAGCATTAACATCTCCAACTTCTGGGACCAAAGGCCAAGAAAAATGGGGTTAAATCCTCTTTTTGTGCTT